CATCTAAAAATTGTTGATAAATTGTAGCTTGTATTTAAGCATATCTCACTATCTCTGTTCATTACTTAGGTCTGATTTTGTGACTATTTTTTTGGGAAACAGGTGAATAGTCAGTCAAAATGTGTGCCTTCCAGTTTGTGGTGTATTTTTTTGTACTTAACACAAAGAAATGAATTCCTTACTACTAGCCTTTGTGGATCGATGCTGACATGGTAGAATATCCGCCAGTTACTTCGGAAGTCCGACTGCGGTTCTTATAATCTAACCTATTTTTCCAGTCCGGAGAAGAAGGAAGGTTAGGCATCAGCATAGCGGAATCACACTACGTAAAACCAACATCTTGGCTACTGAAACTTCAAAAACTTGAATGGAACGAAGGAAAAGTCGAAATGTGAAACTGAAGACTCAGATTCTTCGTCTAATTTCATCTCACTAAGTAAATATTCGCACTTGAAGTCACTCCTTATTTTAAAAAATTCTACCAAAGTGTGCACTTTAGTATTTTCCTTGAGTTCAAATTCACAGTTTGAAAATCAGTTCACAATTTTTCAAGTTAATAGGCAATTTACGCAGTTGAAGGTGATTATTTCACCACAGTTTCGTTTGGAGGTCAAGGTTATTCAGATCACAATGTGTCCTCTGCTTGACGCCTTAAGTAGTAATCAGGAAGCCAAACAGAAATTCATAACACTATGTATTGAGTGTACTGAGTGATTTAGGTGAGTAGTTGTATTCGACTTATGTCAAAATGCAGCGCTTACTAGCCAGATCTAAACACCGGACAGCCATTTTGCCCGTTTGGTGCCGTTGTCATCAGCTTTGTACTACTGGATATCTGACTGGCTATTTGAGGGAACTGGCAAGATCGTAAATCAAGTTCGCGATTTGCAAATTAGTTCATAATTTTGAAAATTAATCGGGTTGTTTTAACTGATACAGTCTGTTTGTCTGTCTGTTTTCAACATAGAACTTTGCACCAATGTGCAGCAGTTCCAGTCACCACACTTTACTCAGCACACAAAGCCAGAGAAGAACAAGAAAGTAAAAAGAAATGCAAAATAGAGAAAGTAAATAGAGATATGAGGCAAAAGGAATAGTAATATCGAAGAACAATATAGTTTCATTAGAAAGTATAAGTCACGAGGAGTAGATGCATCTGCCACAGCCATTGAGAACGATGAGTTTGAGCCATATTACCGATTGTCTCCAGCCTTCATTGGTGTTTACCGTCCTGAGGACCCCAACCAGGAAGCCTACATCGTCCTACGTGGCTGGCTTGAACCAACTGTTGTGGATTTCATTGACTGATAAAGCCATGTTTTGGTTTGACCACCGCTGACCTTATATCAGCTAACATTGCCCATCGAGGAAGGCGATGACTAGAAGGGCATGAGTAACACATGTCCTAACCATCTCAGCTGATGTAGCTTCACAGACTAGTCGACTGATTTCCCCTCTTTACGTAGCACTCAACCGACGCCTAGACTCAATATTGCTCACCTTATTATACCATTTCACACAGGAGATAGAACGCTGGCACCTATGATCTAAGACAGCTAATCTTTTCATGTCTTCCACTCTCAAAGGCCAGGTCTTACAGCCATAAAGGAGGACAAAGCTGACTGCTGAGCAGTAAACATATCCTTTGGTCGATAGGCGGATATCACGTCTACGCCAGAGACGGTGTAAACTGGCATATGCGAAACGAGCCTTCTGTATCCGTGCTGAGATTTCGTCAGTAATCAACCCATTGGGGCTAGCTGATGCAACTTCCTCAATAAGTGAAGTGGTCGACACGTACCACTAACCACTTCACTCCCTATTTCTAAGCCAGGAGTCAATGTAGTCCAGTCCAGTCCTGTGGCATCATCTTACATTTGGTGGGAGTGAACCGTATGCCAAACATTCGAAGATTGCTGCCCAAGGTGTTCAGAAGACTCTGAATTTTGTCAGCGTCTTCACCCTGTGGGAGGACTATATCATCTGCATATTCGAAGTCAACGAGATTATTCCCTGATGGTAACAAGTCAATCGCTGAGTCTCTGAAGTTAATTAGGGTTAATTCCATTAGTATATTTGTGATGAAATTGAATAGAAACGGGAAGATTGTTCATCCCTGACGGACGCTACTAGTTGCCACCACTTCAGATGACAACTCTACCTCCTTAAGCTCTCACCTGGCTGGCTGCATGAGTTCGAGTAGAGTGCCTTGATCAATGCAATGTATTTTCTCGGCATTCCTTTTACAGTTAAACATCGCCAGAGTACTTCTCGGTCGACAATATCGAATTACGCCTTTAGGTCAAGAAATATAACGATTGTTGGAGGCCGCCGATAAGTATGCCTATGTTCCAGAATCTGTCGAAGGGTGAAGATCAATATGATCAATACACCCTCTTCCTGGTCTAAAGCCTGCCTGGTTCTCTCGTGTTTGTTCCTTCCGTGGACCGCTTAGTCTACGCATGATTATTGAGCCTAGAACTTTAGATATCATATTGGTCAAGCTAATCCCCCTGTGATTATCACAGGAAGACTTGTCTCCCTTCTTGTATATCGGGATAATCAGTGACTTACACCAACCCGACGGGACTTCCTCTGATTCCCAGACGCTGCCTAGTACCTTATTTAACGCAGACAGTAAACTGTCTCCACCGTACTTAAATACCTCTGGAGTCATTCCATCAGGTCCTGCTGCTTTGTCTAGTTTCAGACTTGTGATAGCCTTAGTAACCTCAGTTAGGGACGGAGGACGGGTGTTTATTTCCCGTTCTGCGAGGTGTTGGATGTTCGGTAATTTGAACGTGGCTGTAGGCCAATTGAACTGCTCCTCGAAGTGTTCTTTCCAGCGTTCCAGTCATCTATCCTGAGAGCCAATCAAGGTGCCATTTTTCTCAGAGATTGTTTCACTTACCGTTTTCCTTTTGCCACCTGTTTCCATGATAAATCTAAATAGTTGTCTGGTGTTACCGATCGCCGATGCCTTTTCCATCTCTTCCGCTTTTGTCACCCACCGCTGTTCACGGTGATTGTGAAGGCTTCTTAATAGTTTGCGTTTGAGCAGCTTCCGCTTCTCATAATAATAAGAGCTCACAGGAATCAGTCTTCTTGCGTGCATCAGTTTGGATGAGGCGGTAGAGATCCGATGGATCTTACTAACTTTTGGTTTTAGGTAATTAACAGTTTTTACAGCTGTGTCTACAGCTAACTGTTTGTTGTGCCAGGCTACCTCTGGGGTAGTCTTGCTGTCGACCTCAGATACACGTTTCGCTATTTCCTCCTTAAATAGGAGCTCAGTGTCTTGATCTAGTTGGGGACGTAACTGTTTCGCTACCAGCAATTTTTTATGTCCGTTTAGTCGTAAGCATAAACGTGCGCGGACCAGAGTCTACGCAGGTGTTCCAGAAGGAGCAGCAGTCTTCTAATGACCCTCATCAACGAAACCATATCGCTATGTGATCTGTCTAAGTCCAGCGTTGATTTGGTGATGGAGGTCGCCTGGCTACACAATGTTTGTCTTTGTGCCTAAAGTTAGTGCTGACTAGGAACATATGATTATCTATACAGAACTGTAGAAGACGATCACCGTTGTGGGTTCGTCTGCAGGGAACTCCATACGTGCCACCTACATACTTCTCAGTCTGTCACAACTTCTCTACTTGGACACCTGCCAAAACAACTGTATCTGAACGTTTTTCTTTTTGCAGCAAATTAGACATTTTTAGGTAGAAATCATCCTTTAGTTCATCCAAACTGCAGTCTGTTGGGGCGTAAGTGGAGACTACGAAACGACAACGACAGGTAACACAGTCCTTCCTTCTTCTAACGGACTCGTTCAGACGGGCCGCACACATACAAATATCTGCTGGGATCCAGTAAAGAAGTGATTTTTCTGACCTAACACTCAAAGCTATCCCTACACCTGATAGTCCTCGCTAACTAGCTGAAGGGTCTCCTAACACTCTAAAAGTGAATTTTGCAGATTCATCTTGTTGTCCGGGTGAGGTTATGCGTGTCTCCGAAACACAACATACATCCATGGCTCGCGATGACAGAGTTCTTGCTAGTGATGCCTGTTGTCCGATTGGCAGAGGGGCCTGATGTTGAAAACTCCTATATGAAGTTGGCGACGTGGCTTTAAGAGGTTGTCGGGGGTGTTTCTATGGCTCCCATCGTTATTTGTGATCACAGAGTGAAGTGAAGACAACTCAGTAATCTGAAGAATAGCACTCACTGTATTAGGGGAGTAAGATGATGAAAGTGATTTGGGTAAAGGAGAATGATGCTCGGGGAGGCTTCATGTGCTTTTGGAAGTGTGTGGGCGGTTGTTATTTCCCGGCTGCCCACACCTTGGAAGTTGGTTGATTCTTTGGTTACCTGAAACATAAAGACGTTTAGTGTTGCGTGACCGCGGAGCCCAGGGGACAACTGCCTGAAGTTGGTCACACATGGTGTGTATGAACTGGTTTCTTGGTTTGGTTCCGTATTAGTAAACTTACCGCCGGTTACGGACCACCGTGAGGTAAGTCAGGATGTACAATTTTTTGAGTCGACCTTTTCTAATCCCCTCTCTCCAGAGTGGAGAGACAGCATAGGTGGCTGACATGCTGGTCATCTGAGGGAATTACCTCACTGCTGTTACAACTGTGTTCCCCAGCAGTACGACTTCGCCCACAGACCCGCAGCACAGTGTAAAAAAGATTCTTACACTAAGCCGGTAACTGCTTTTAGTTTAATCGGTACTCTGAGCTGAGTTGAGACCAAACAACCGAAATGGCCATCCAGCGTTTACATCACTTTGATCTAGCTAGCGAGGACTGCTGGTTGATGTGAGTAGTTTACAACTCCTCATGTCCATCAATCGGTAGGTTTTAGTATTTCCTTTTAACTATTCACACAAAGTTTTAATATTTATTTATTTGCTTTATAAGGAACGTAACATAATACCACATGATTACACATACAAGTGTGTATATACTTCAGAAGTGAGGTGATGTACTTACTTGGTTCTTTGAGTAGACGAATTTCAGAAACACGCCCAACTTCACTGACTGATTCACACTTGTAATATCCATAGTCTTCAGATTTTACTTCTTTTAACCATAGCATTGTGAACATAGTAAATTTGTAATTCGTTTTCTCCAAATTATAGTAGAAATCTTTATAGTCTGTCTGTTTCCCACTCGAGGTGAAATCGTAAGTTGATGGAATAATGAATGCTGGCTTTCCTGTGACAATCAGATAATTATGCACTTCCTTGAACATAAAATGAAAATCATGACAATAATTGTTGAATTTTATTTGTCTACTTACAAATATTTAAGTAGGTCAAAACATCTAAACAAATTGTACTTAGTAATTCTTAATGTGCAAATTAAATTCACGTTTTACAAATTACGCATTTCGAAATGACACATCACTGCAGTTTCCTTTGGAAATAAAAATCGCTTAGTGCTCAGTATATGTTCTGCCTGATTTTATAAATGGTGACCAAGAAATTAAGTGTAAATAAACAAGCGAGCCACCTAGCATAGTGGTCACATTGCAAACTTGACTGATAGAAATCAGTCTACACTGGTTACTGACTAGTGTTCAATCAAAAATAATACACCTTGACTGATTGAGATCCATAGTTGTATACCATTCACATCAACCAGTGGTACTTGCTAGCCGGATTGAAGTAATCTAAACACCAAGAGGACGTTTTGCTCCTTTTGGGGTCAAGTTAATCAAAACTGTGCCCTGTTTGAATAAGCTCAGATAGCCAAATCAGTTCAAACCACCTCATTTCTGGGTGGCTGCTTGCGCAAACTGATGACATCTTGGATAAAATTCTCAGTTTGCAAATTAGTTCATAATTTAAACAGTTCACTACTCATAACAGTCAGCTAGCAGTATGGTGTAATTATGTTTGCTGTTTTGATTACCATTTGGGGTATTAAGCAGATCTTATATTGTGATCTAAATAAATTCGGTTTCCATGGGAAACTGTAGAGAAATTTCACCTTGAACTGCGATTCAGTGTATTATCATTTCGCCCAAGTCGATAGCCAGAAATCGTTTGTTTTTAACTGATTTGGCTTTTCAACCACAGTTAAATCAAATTCACCGTTAGTGAGTGGAACCACCGTGCATCTGGCTAGTAAATGAGTGGTTTATAACTACTCATATAAGTTTATAAGTAGTATAAACTGGCATGGACTTGGAATAATTCTATCCAGTTTCTGTGACGCTATGCATCTTAACATATCGTTTTCTATAAAGGGAAATTTTTAAGTTTTTGAACTGGTTAGCAGAATTTATGTCACAAAATGAAGGGATATGAATAGTGACCTTCTTTTTCCTCTATTCAACGCTAATTGCAATTCGCTACACACCGATTGAAATGTGAGTTCGTAGTTAAGTAAAATATTGATAGTACTGCCTGTAGCATTTAAAAATCTGAAACATCACTAAGTGTTTAGATAAATGTTTGATGAGTGCAGAAATGAACAGTGACTCCTAAAAATGGATCACTCTACGCTGAGATGAAATTTTGTTTTGTCAGCTCAACAATTAGACCTCCCAACTGTATATAAAATTCTCAATGTGTAAATTAATTAGTGATTTGCATTTCACATAAATCGAGGTGAAACTTTACCACAATTTCTTTTGGAAACTGAAACTGTTTAGATCACAATATTTGGTCTACTTTTCACCATAAATGGCAATCAAGAGAGCGAGTATATATAACCTCTAGCTGTATATTTTTTCTATGAGCATAAGGTATATTCTAATCTCATTGAAGGAATCATCAGTACGCGTATACCATGCCCTTGTTAAACCTACAAATTCAAGATAAAATAATAATTTTTAAGGATGACTATGGTAGAGTTGTATGGTCTGAGTTCACCAGGTGCTCGACAGTTGAGCTAGTAATTGTCTTGCATGGTTCAGATTGGCGTTATCAAGCTTGTCAAGATGGCAATTCAAGACACTTACTAGCTCACTTCTTGAGCGCCTAGTGAAATCAGGCTACGCAGCCCCACCAGAGTCATCCTTGAAAATTATCTACAAGGTGAGACCGGATGTTACAAGGGGTATTAAATTTCAGCATTTGACAAAAAATGGCGAACACTTTCTTACTTTAAATTTTATTGTTTTATTAAAATTTTCAGTAGTATAAATTAGTTTCCATTTATTATTATCATCATTATCATTTATTTCATGATAGTTTGATCCTGTAAATTTCCACCAGTTGATTGTATGTACAGCTGGTTTACCAAAAAATTGACAAAATAATGGACCATACAGTTTTGAACTACTCGTATACTGATTGCCTGTCTTTGATGAATCAGCAGAAGTTGATATTATTTCATTGAAAGTGATAAATGGTCTTGGTGGTGCTAAAGTAATAAAACCGAATAGATTTCACATCATTAATGGTGTATTATTACGTAATCAGTTATGTATTTCTAATTACGAGTTAATTCAACCTAAAAGGCACACTGTAACGGTAGAAGGTTAGAGACTTGGTAAGGAATATCTTTTCAGAATTTGGTATAGCTATATTCCGAAATTATGTACACCTCATCTTCATCTTGGCACAGGTCTTCCGTATTGTGCTACTTCTGACCTTCAAATTGTGTTTCTTTCGCGTCTTCCATGTTTCTCCGAAAGGCTGGATCACTTGCTTTTTCTGACGTTAAATCTATCTCTCTGCTATTTGATATTTTTATTGTGGTGAACGTCTCTTTATACACTACTGATAAATCTTATCAGTAACACACGCCCCAATATTTATTATCCATTTGAGTTCAGAGTGCAACTTAAAGCTTTAACAGAACATATCCGTTTCATCCTATTTCCCACAAGCTCTCATCTCCCTTTTCACACGATCTCTTCCATGTCAACCTCGTAGCCATGCACAACTCGTCGTTTCCCATTCTGGTTCTACTTCAGTGGCTGGCGCGCAGTGTCATTCGACAGTCTCCTCAGGCCAGAGTACGTCTAATCTATCTCCATTTTCTTTGGTATATTTCTTGGGCAATAAGTCCCTGGTTGGTTCGTTCCCAGGGTTTATTGTTGTTCATACTTTCTGGTTGGTTATCTCGTATTAATTATGGAGAGAAGGCAGATAGTGGTAAGAGTCTGCAGTAGCCTGTTGGAAATGCTTTTGGTTACGCGTCTGCCTAGTTTCAGAACCACATAGGAGAATTTACTATAAGGCATACTTAAAGAATTATGTAATTTCCTACACAATAGGTGGTGAAGTTTTTCTAAAATTAATACTTATACTTGTAGCTGGAGAAAGGAAGTTGTGTTGATGGTGCTCCATCAGCCGGTGTCATTCAAAATAAAATTTTTGAAAATGATCTCATCATCACCTACAGGGCTGGTTAATATTTGGAGACAATATGATGAGGTTGAAATGATTTACTGATGCCTATGGGGAGAGATGACAACTAACTTAGGACTGTTGGTTGTTTACAAGTTGTAGATACAACTGGTTAGTGAGTCCCACTTGCCTAGATATCGAATGTCAGGTTTCTTTTGGGAGTAGATTCTTTAAATTAACTATAGATAAACATTTATACAGTTATTTAGTAGATGGTGACTTGCAGTAGAATCCAGTATGAGCATTTTGTCCCATTCAGGACTCATCAATCGGCTGTGCCTGCTCTGCGCAGAAGCCGACATGCCACCAGAGGCTGAATATTTCCGTCCAATCAATTGACGGGAAAATCAAAACTGAATTAAAAATAAATTTATTTAGTTATTTTAATAATGGTAGTAGGGTACTGAATAAAATGAATCAGAATCTTTTAAACCTCTTTTGGTTTCAGTTCAAACTGTTATCTCTATAGCTGCTTCATTGAGTTTTTATGAAAGTAGTGTGATAAATGTCGGTTCTGATAATACTGCAGCAGAACAATTGATCTACGAATCCTTCCACGAACAGTACATTTACAATCAGTTTTATTCCTTAACGTTCCCAGCGGAACATAGGTATCCAAGCTAGAGGCTTGACATAGCAGTGGTGGTTATTTTTACGGGATGGGGTTGCTTGCCTCATGCTCAACCTTCCTTCTTTACCAGTCTTATTACTAGCTTAGCGAAGTGAAATGGTATGCTGGTGGCCGGAAATAGAACCCCGACCGACCTGTGAGGTTGGCGAGCATTTCACCGCTGTGCCACCGATGCACCCATTTACAGTACTGATACATATTTGAATATTCCAGCTAATTTTCTAATTAGCAACCTTTTCTGCTGACGTGTATTTCATCGTTCTAACACTTGCATATCTTCTCTAGACTTAATCCTTATTATTTGTCCTTGCTTTTGATTGATCCCTATTTTTACTGATTTACTTTGCTGTTGTGTGATGGTGTTGACAATGATGTTTTACTGTTACGCTTTTGTATTAATGCAGTCAAGATCAAGCCATGACGGGTCTGCTTGACCATGCAGTGTCTATGGTAAATGTGTTTTGTTCTGTTTAACTCTAGTGGATAGACTACACTGATCCTACATTGTAGGAAATATTCTTGATGATTTTTGGGTAATTTAAAATTGTGTTCTACAGTACGCATTTCGAACCTGAGAAACTTTGGGACCGTTTATTTGAGGGACAGCATTTTTAAGGTAGTTCTGTATTTTTGAAATAAGTTGTTATTAGTATTGAGTATTACCACAGATTCCGTCAAGCTAAAACATCTCCTGGTATTGCTGAAATGTAATTTTCGACTGTGTGTTACTCCATGGAAATTTGGCAAGCCATACAGTAGAACGAATCAGTTAGTTTCCTCATTTTTAGTCATAGCAAACATAATTAATATTCACTTAAGAAACATCCTGATTATTTTAACCCCAAAAATTGGTTGAATAATCTGCTTGAGAAGCATAAGAATATCTCCTGAAAGATGTCTGTGATGGGTGCTACTGAAAAGATTCTTTAAGTAGTCTACTGCGTGTGTGTTTGTGTGTGGAAATCTACTGTTCACTGCATAAGGAACAAAATTCGGATTTTCAAACACTAATATCAAGCCATTTTTCTCTTTGGCTGAGGGACTTGGAGACTCACTAAAACCATTTCGACCAGGCTTCAAACTTTTATCAACTGTGAAGTTTACTCTACAATGAAGATCAGATGGCTGGTTAGAAAAGGATCAGCCACAAGGGACTCTGACAACCGACTAACCATAAACTTAGTGCCCATCATTTTTTCAGAAGAAAATAGATATGGATTGGACACACGCTGAGAAGACAATTGAGTGACATTGCATGTCAGGGAGGTCCTCAAGTGTAAGCTGAATGGGGAACGACAAGTTGGGCTAGGGTCGGGGGGGGGGGGCTGACATGGACGAGATCACGTGAAGGAGAAATAAAAACTTATGGAAAATTGTGGAGCTAGCAAGACAGAATTGCAGAGAAAATGATGAAATACAGATGTGTTGGCGTGAAGCCCTATGTTCCACTGGGAGTCTATAGAAATGCCTTATGCAATAATATTGAATAGTGGATGGAAGATTTAAATGACGATGAAGAGAAATGAAAGATCCTTCTGTGAAACAACATACCAAACCTGAAAGAGAGCGAAATATGAAGGACATGTGCAAATGAACATTTCAATGTAAGATATATGTATTCTCGCCATATCCGAACATCAATTTACCGATAGACAATTCCACTACCAAATACTACCATGTTTTGATTGGACATTAGTAACTAGTGTGACGTGCCTAGTCTTTCTTTGGTGCAGACTGAATTCTATCAGTCAGGTATGCAATGTGGCCACCATTCTAGGTAGCTTGCCATCACGGTGAACATTGATTTGATGATATTAGATAGTTGGAGGCAATCGGCAGGAATTCAGTCTGCACAAAAGAAAGGATCAGACATGTCACACAAGTTACTAGTGTCCAATCAGAATACCCACTACAGTCCTGCAGGAGGTCGATCGCGAGCCCGAATACCTCAGTGGTAACGTCTCTGATGGGTGACGCGTGTTCGAATCTCAGAAGGGACATGATTTCCTTCAAGTTTGCAGATACGCCCTGCTGACTGATGAGTGCCAACTAGCACGAAACCTAGGTCGAAGGCTTCCCGACGATTGTCTCTGACTATCTAGTACTACCATGTTTTGCAGTCACATACCTATAGATAAAAACGAAACAAAACAAACACCCAACTTACTTTGTATTGTTAAATTTATTGAACCTTGTTCAATACCCATTGAATTGGATGTTTCACATAAATACTTGCCTTCCATTCGAAGAATTATAATAAATTCCAATATTTGTTTTAATACTTGATAATTCCAATTATATAGTGTCAATTTTTCAGTAAATTCAATATTCAGTCGCTTTAATACTTTATTTAAAGTATTTTTAACATATAGAATTATGTCAACTTCTTGAAATTCTAACCATGTTTCAATTCTCCATAGACCAAATTTATTCTTCATGATATAGTTACGTGTTGATTGTTTTAATATACTATAATCATTATCAAATATATTATGATAATTAGTAAATGCGCCTTGATTTCTATGAAACAGCCATTGTATATCAGGCGGTAGACTTGATATAAATGTACAGCTCATATTTCTTTTGTTAACTATATTAACACCATATTGTAACAGATTTCCAATCTCATTGTAATGATCAACATTTCTGTGGTTTTTTAGTAAGCTGGCAGTATGAAAGTGTAGGGTTGCCTGTCCAAATGGTTTGCTTATCAATATTGGCTTACCTAGCACCGAGAGAATAATTAAAGGAGAAAATTAGATTTTTAATAAGTGGAAAAGAATTTTTGAACAGAACAAAAAAAAGATTAGCTATCTATTTATCTGTTTGTCTGACATATGGTTGTTTCTGTTTCAAACCTCCTGATTTCAACAAACTGTTGTGAAACGATCAAATTTCATTTGGTTATTAGATTCGGTGGATATTAGAAATGGGCTAATTTGGTAAAGAATTATGATAATAATAATTTGCTTTATTCCAAAATAGTACTTGTGATACAGAATGGAATTCTCAGCATTTTTACTACAGTATTGCATCCAGTTAGTACATTATCAATAAATAGAATTCTACATAGATTAAGGAAATCTCAGTTCATATTGGCAACATATTGGCATGTCAGTAGCAAAGGTAAAATTGAACAGTGTTTGAAGGTGTTAGAAAAGTAAGTGCTATCATATTTACTGGCGAAAGCGAGAGAAAGAAACGAAGCAGCACATAACGGAGAAAAAAAAAGAGAGAGGGAGAAAAGGAAAAGTAAGAAAGAAAATGCTGTACCTATAAATGACATGAGTTGGAAAGACGAAGTCCAGTTGTACTACTGACTATTTAATGAATTATAGGTGTCATGCCTAATGCTTTCTTTATCACACAGAACACGAGCTAAGTAGGGTATGGTTGAGTTTTTGTACTTGTTGGTGCGAGCATATAGTTTTCTACATAGGCTTCTGATTTTGCCTGATGAGATGCAAGGGAAGAGTTGCGAGTGAAGAGGTTGGTGTGAGTTAGATAAAATGGATTTGGCCCATTTTTCACATGAGTCCATGTGCCTGTCGACCAGAATATTAACAAGCTGGTTAAGTGGCACGTTGATTACCCTGCTGATAACCTTTAACATCCTGCGTAATATGTTGTAGTCTTTCTTCAGTAGCCCGGGAAAAACTAAGGGGGAACAATAGAGAATAATATGCAGAATGCGAGAGTTAACGAATTGTAGGAGTAAGGGTTGGGTTATATCAGAATGTTTTAACTTCTTGATGTAGAAGGTAAGACGGAATATTTTCTTAGAAATCGTCAAGATATGAGACGACCAGGAAGGATCAGCAGATAGAATGACGCCTAGGTATTTGGTTTCCGCCTTTGTTTCTATTTCAGTGCCACCTATGCTGCACACCTCGTGAGAGCCAACCATGCAGATGGAAATGAACCGCATATATTGTGTGACGGCTAATGAACCATTGGTCGGAGACTGAGAGCTTAAATCAGTGTGGCACAGCATCAGTTAACTCTCTAAGCATTCTGTGTAGGTATTTTGTAGGTTATTATATTATTTTTCAAGTTTGATGATGTGCTGATATCGGTTAGAGAACCACTAGAAGCTAGGAGGGAGTACTGGACAGCTGTTTTGTCCTAGTCTGGAACTCATGGGCTGTGTGCAGCCACTGAGTTCCGAAAATAGGACCTTCCAGTTACAAGGAGGGATCGTAGACCATTCAGCCGTTGACACCTTACTCATTGACCTTTGAATTCCAACTTCTACGATTTTGTGTTTTTAGCCAGTATCTGTTTTTACACTCAGACGGATGAACGTCACTTGTCACGACTTCTCACTAGAACTCCAGGAAACTTCGTTCTGTAGCCAGTCACTAGTGCAAAATAAGATTAATTTCCAGGACTAGTGGTCGCGCTAAAATTACGAGCTGGTAGAAGGTGGAAATCATTGGCCACTGAGTAGGGTGTCAGTGGCTGAATGGTCTACGAGATCGCCTTGTAACTGGAAGGTCCTGGTTTCAAACTCCAGTGCGTGTGTACTGGCGATGAGTCTGAAAATAGGACGAAACACCTGTCAGGTACTCCTTGGTTTTTAGTGGTTCTCTAACTGATATCAATCTGTGGTCAGACTTGGAAAATAAATCACTTCTCTACAAACTAACATTTGAATATTATATTTTTATTATTATTCCCGCAGGTTCCAATTGAAACATACAACTCCTGACTGACTTACTGGTTTCAACGTAGAAGTATGCACCGATGTGCAGCAGTTCAAGTCGCCACACTCCCTCCTAGTAGCACACAAAGCAAGAGAAGAAAGTAGAAGAAATGCAAAATAGAGACAGTAGACAGGGATATGAGACAGAAAGAATAGTAACATCAAAGAACAATATGGATTTATTGGGAATTATAAGTCGCAAGGAGTGGATGCATCTGCGCCAGCCATTGAGTTTGAGCCATATCACCGATTGTCTCCAGCCTTCATTGGTGTTTATCGTCCCGAGGACTCCAACCAGTCAGGTTGTCTACACCTTCCTACGTGGCTTAAACCAACTATATGCACAACTCCAGCAGCACCTCTCCGTTTCATTCTGTTCTGTTTATTATTTATTTATTTTTTTCCCTTCACGTTCCCCAGTGGAACATAGGGCTTCAAGCTAATGGCTTGAAGTTTCTGTAGCAGTGTTTATTTTACAGTATGGGGTTGCTAGCCTCATGCCCAACCTTTCCGCTTCACCAGCTTTTATTTCTGGTTTAGCGAGGTAAAGGAGTGCGTCGGCCGAGGATCGAACCCCGAACCATGTACATGATCGGCGAGCGTCCTAACCGCTATGCCACCGACGCACATTCTGTTCTGTGTGGTCGTCTATAGCAGACTCCATGACTGCTCGTAGGCTTTCATCTCCTACTCTCACGACCAACCCCATGTCATCTTCAGATGCCCGAATCTCCATTTCCCATTTAGGTTCCACTTGAAGACCCAGCACCAGGTGTCATTCACAAATCTCCTCAATGTCTGTTCTGCCCGTTTTGATTTCCATCGATATATTTATTGGATAGCAGGGTCTCGGTTGGTTATCTACCAGAGTTCTTTGTTGCTTCAACTGAAAAGAATTCGCGTCTGTGTCATCAGACATTTCCAGAATTAAATTCTACGAGGATAGTCGAAAAGCAGGTTATTTCTTAACTGCCCTTGAATCTAACTTGATGAGATCTGAAGTTTTTATATAGTATGTCAATCAGTCAGAATAAAACAGTTATTTATTCACTTTAGTTTAATGTTGTTTCTTTTCCTAATAACCTATGAAACATTATCTGAAGGACAGCACTACTATGTGGGAGGAGATTATCCAAAGACAATAAAAAATTTCTTCTAGTCTATTTTTGTAATAATAATAATAATAATAAAGTCTAGTGGTGCCAAATGTCTGTCGACCACTAATTTACTATACTACATATTATGTTGCTTCATGGTTGTAATAAAGCTTATCTGATCAACTGGATTACTCTAACAATATATTGACATGCTAAGAAGATGAGTTAGTAAGGAGGTTATTTTGTAGACTGTGTATATGTTTTAGAGGAATTAATCAAGAAGTATTGATTTTTTTTGGACTTAGAAAAATCTACACAAATCGTTTAGACACCTTTTAAGAAATATCTATGGCTTAGGATGCTTTAGATAGAATGATTTATCCTTGAAACTGTCAATATTGTCTAAGACAATATCATAGGATCAATGATAGCAACTCTGATGGAAGGATTATACATAGCTCAAGTTATAAGGACGTCCAGATATCAAAAGTATGGAAATGTTGGTAAACGGAATTGCTGGAACAACTGATGACATCTAAATTTATCAGGACAGAGAGTTGCATGCCTCATCTTGTTACAAAGCCTGTTTCATTTTAGTCTGGAATGAGAATATTAGTTTGGTAAAACCTAAAGAATAATGACCACGGAGTTAGAACGCGTCGATGACCTTGAGAGCATACCATTGGTTGGATTACAGAACCTGCCGTGTATTATGCGTCAGAAAGCCGTTTATTTACGAGAAAAAAACGAACGTAATAATAGTGAAAGACATTAAAGACGATATTATACGCTGATGTAACTGAAAAAATTTCTCAATTACAATGAAGGCTGTCAGTTTTCCAGTTTCGTAGCTGTCAAAAAAGCTTCATGTGTATAAATACGGAAGTACTCTCCCCTCATATATTTATTTACTAGAAGAATACAGAATAATAAAGCACTGTGACCCTAATCATTACTTCAACCCTAACCCTAGTACTTACATTAACCTTAACTGCAATACTAATCCTGACCCTAACCCTAACATGCTACCAATCTGGTGTCCAAACAGTACTTAAAAACGATTTCAGGATGAAATTGCACTGGCGTTTTAATAACAGGAGGTTGTGTAATCCAACGAACGGAATCCGTTCAAGGACATAGGTACGCTTGCACTCCGTAGTTCTCCAGGTTGACCATTAGCTTCACCAGCACATATAGTCAGTGTGTTCCAAACTTACCAAAACTTTTAATCTACGTCCATTCTATGCATAAGAACAAATATGCAAAGAAAATATATATTACATAGTCTTCAGAATTCAACTCAAGAGGTTAAGTAATCGCTTTATTAAGTGGTTACGATGCCCTAACATACACCTCATACGGTAACACAAATTGTAGGATAAAACGTGACATCAATAAGTCATTCATCTTATTCCCCATTGGTCAGTCGAACACCACTTTGTTTGAAGAGGTCCATTTCAAGAGTAGATATGAAATTCCGGAAAAACTTGGTGTTCAGTAGAGAAGACGAATAGAAGAAGAAGAATGTTTGCAAATGCGTACAAAGTGGGTAAAATGAGTCATTTCTAATTAAAGCAGTTCACCAGGAGCAAAATATGACACCTAACCCTGATAACCTTGATATCATAATAAGCAATAAATTTTACCCAAGGACGTCATTAATAAATAATAGAGTATCACCATATGATTTCAATAAATAAATTTACTACTTGATGAATTATACTCTACTATAGTACCCGACCGTCCTTCTTACAATTATTGGGCAAAAGTGTCGTGTAAGGCAGTGGACTGACCCCAAAGTCTCACAGTCAGAAGTGAACACGGAGGTAAGACAAGGCTGCATGCTATCACCAATGATATTCCATATTGTAGTGAACTACATCATGTGGAACTCCAGATATGGGCAGCGAGAAGACAGAAATACGTTGGACCGATAAGAAGACTGTAAAAGATCTGAATTCGCGGATGATTTACGTCTTACGTCACAAAATCTCGATGACTTAGAGACGAAAACCAACAAACTGACAGAAGAAGCAGCAAAGACAGGACTTCAGGTGAACATAGAGAAAATGAAAGTGATGGAAGCAACCAACCAACAACAAAAGCGGACACCAATCACTGTCATTGGGTCGGCGCGAGGGTGATACGGAAAAGATCGTGTGAGAAGGAGATGGTCGTTTATGGGAAATCGTGGGGTCAGCTGAAAAGGACTGCAGAAAACAGGACCAAATGGATATGTTTTCTTGAATCTCTATGTTCTACTCGGAACCTAAAGCAATGATAACAATAACAAATTTTCTTCTTAAAAAGGAGCTACTGCTTTCAGATAAAGTGAAAACCTTTAATGCTGATTAATCTGATGCTAAACAGAATATCTGAATAAAAAATCCTATCCACCTTGTGTGAACAGTAATATTAGATTGAAGTTCCCCATTGTCCCCAATAAATTTGTTTTCAAACACTCTTTTTTCAATCTAATGTTCCGATGGGTATTTTCCACGATTTTAATAGTAATAAATAAAACACTCGACTGAGAATGTTATCTAGCAAGAAAATGAAAGCTTTGCAACTAAGCCATTCAACTCAGAAAACGTAACTACACCAAAATCATCCACCTAAGCTACAAGACTTATTTATTATACATTGAATTAAAGTGTTTGTGTATAACTAGCCCGTTTAGATTCATCAACATAATCGGAAATACAAAATCTAAACACCACTATATTCTGGTTAATTTCATAAGGATTTATTGATGATAGAAACAAACAGCTTTTCAAGTGACATTTAAATTGGTATACTACGATCTATCAAGTTTTATGAAGTCTTTAAACAGCCATTCATTTCCTATACACGACTGGCTCACCCATATACCTGAGGAATGACACTGTTCTGAATGTAGTCTTTATTACAGAAATGACTAGCAAAGTGAGAATATAAAGAACACTTATGACAGCGGTTGTATATCAGAGCAAAGTACAAACAAGTAAACTCTTAGACCAGAAAAATGATTTTCTATAGGCGGCCATTCTAAAACTAAGAGTGAAGAGACATTATAAACAGTGTGTATACTCAGTCCCCTTCAAAACAACATCTAGAGAAGATGGTACAGTGAACATGGAGGTGTGAATAAAATACTTAAGGAGTGACTTATTCCTATGGTACTCGACAGAAGTACAAAACTATCATTGCCTAGTACTCTTCCTAAGCATTCAAACAAATGGGTTATTATTAATCCGATTTTGAAAAAAAAAACAAAAAAAAAAACAAATGGATTGCATACTTTTAATTAGTACGCTGACGGAGGCTGGTTGACTAGAACCAAGATGATTTTGTACAAAACAACTGTATATTCCAGAATCTAGTAGACTGAGGCCGTATAACCGAATGGTAAGTATCTTTGAAACTTCATCATAATCAGAGTCTGAATATTCTGATATAATCTCTTGCTTTTCGTCGAATCCATATGATCGAATCCAGTGGAACGTTGGACTTGGTAATCCAGGAGCTTTAGTGAATAAAAAGAAAATTTAATATGAACGCTTTCGAGACTTTCCACACTGTAATATACATTTAAATTCAATAAAAAGAATTTCTCTTAAATTTCACTGAAGAATCAAAGTAGAAGAGCTATTTCACATACTTTTCTACGTTTAACTTCAAGAGTAAATTTTCATTGTAGCCGTCTGAAAAACTACTAAGGTTGTATACAGCGGCAACTCATACCAGTTAACTGGTTCTCTGTAGCCAGTGTTCTAAATTCCCAAGTGTTGGTCTGCAGGAATTTCAGTGATTTTAATTTTGGTCGTGAATTGGTTTCAGTTAGAAGACCACTGCAAGCGAGGGGGTATTGGACAACTGTTTCGTCCTTGTGTGAAACTCTTCAGCAAAACGCACCTACGACCCCCTTACCCAGGAATCAAATCCAGGGCCTTCAGGTTAAAAGATGAATCCAGCCATTGGGACGGAATCCAATGGCCCATCAATTCTAACTCCTTCCAATTCTCGAGATAGCGCGACTCCCAGCTAGTGTCATTAGGGGGTATTTCTCTTTAAGCCCCAATTGGTGAATCATTAATATGACGACTTCTCCAAAGAAATTCAGACAACTCCATCCTATATTGATTCTTTAATAAGTACTAGAATCATTTTCAAGTGTTGTTTTTCAGAGATTTGACTAATTTCAAATTTGGTTGCAAGTGGAATAGGAGTCATGAATGCGTACTGATGAAGAGTCTTAAGTAAGGAGGGAACAGCTGTCCAGTAGCTCCGGGTTTATAATGGTTCTATTATTATTATTGTTCACTTGGGTTCCTAGTGGAACATAGGGCTTCAACTGCACGCCTCTACTTGCTTCTGTCTTCTGCTGTACTTTTCAACTGCATCCATGTTAGTCCATACTGTTTCAACTCCTCTTCACACGATCTCCTCCATGTCACCCTTGGACATCCCACTCGCCGCTTTCCTTTCGGGTTCCACTCGAGCATTGGCCTGACGCGCAATGTCACCCAGCGGCCTCCTCAGCGGGTGTCCAATCCATCACCACTTTCTCCTGCATATTTGTTGGGCGATCGGTTCTTGTTGTGCTTGTTTCCATAGTTTCTTGTTGGTGATTCTTTCCGGCCATCTGATCTTCAGTATAGAGCCAGCGAAGACAGTTGTTGATAAAGGTCTGCAACAGGCTGTTGGAAATACTCTTTGTGACTCGCCAAGTTTCTGATCCATCCGTATAGAAGAACTGACTGACTTGACGTTTGTATTGAAAATCCGAATCACTTTGTTGTTGATGCTGAGTTGAGTGACGAAGATTTCCAGATTGGTTTCAGGTTGATGAATGTGTTTCTCGCCTTCCCGATTCTCGATTTGACATCCTCGTCCGTTCGCCCTGCTGTAGTTGAGACAATGCTCCCTAGATAAGTGAATGAAGTAACCTCTTTCAAATCCCTCCCGTTGATGGTGATTGGCGCTGGATGTTGCTGATGCTGTTGTTGTTGTTGGTTGGTTCTATACCTGAAGCCAATTCGTGAATAAAACTAAGTTTTAAATGATCATAAACGTCCGATTTAACAATCTAGTCAGTGTATTGAATGAGAGACCTTCACAGTAACTTTCAATACCTTCGTCAGGGAATGATTAAGTCAGCACGCCCCATTCAGAAATGATGGAGAAGATTTGTAGCTCAGGTAAATGATTTTGAAAAACACCTCATTCATTTGGGTAAATACCATTCCCTGTTGCGCCTTCATCATCTCTTTTATTTTTCTCGTATCATTTTCATTCAAATTCTACTTTTTTTAAATGTTGGTTTGTAGGGATTTGATTGGTTACAGGATTTTCATCATGACCTGACATCAGTTAGAGAACCACTGGAAAACCTGGGAGTACTGGACAGCTGTTTCGCCCTAGTTTGGGGCTCTTCAGCAGTACGCACCCACCGCCAGGGTTCGAACCCAGGACCTCCTGGATACAAGGCGAGCTCGTATACCATTAAGCCACTGGGACTCGATCCAATGGCCAGCCCATGAATTCTAACTTCTGCCAAGTCACGACATACCGCGACCCCTAGCCAATGTCTTCGGCGAGTATTTGTCTTCACACCCGACCTGCTGCACCCTACTGGTTACGACTTCTCACTAGAACCCCAGGTAACTACCTACCTGAATAGGGCAAGTCGCTAGTGAGCATCTCATTGATATTCAAGTGTTGGTTTGTAGGGATTTGATTGGTTACAGGATTTTCATCATGAGCTGACATTAGTTCTATTTTTATTTTTCTATTTTTTAAAATTTTTTTCGCTTCCCAGTATGTTGCAACCCTGAAAAGGATTGGGCTGGAATGATTTTGTCATATGACCTAGATAGATATCAATACTAATTATGATCGGTCATTTCAATAACACATCTATTCTGTATTCTTTCTCTCTACACAATTCAGTAAATGAGGTAGGTAGATAGGCAGGTAAATGTCTTAATGTTCAGTTATACTTGAGTAATTGGTATATCTACATTTCTTAATACTGAAGCTGTTCTCTGAGTGATGATGAGTGAATATGTTTTTCGTAACAGTTTAAAATTTTCACAAACATATTGAAACTACTTACATGAAATATTTAATTGACAACGTAAACTGATGTAATCTTCGCCTTTATTATTAATTGAATGTATCATAGTTAGTGTAGGCTGTCCAGGAGGATCTAGAATCAAAGGAAACGAAAATCTATAGTTAATACTAAGTATATGCTTATTATACCAGTAGAGTTAATAAAATATTAATATAGAAAACAAAAACTTATTATTGTTCCCTTGGGTTCCAAGTGGAACACAGGGCTTCAACAACACATCTCCGCTTTCTTCCATTCTCGGCTGTTCTATTCATCTAGCCAGCCACACGATTTCCCATAATCTCTCCTCCCACGGACAACTCATTCTTCGCTTCCCATTAGGATTTCACTTGAACGATGGCCTGCATTGCGCGCGGTATAACTCAACAGCCCCCTCAGCGTATACCCGATCCATCTCCATTTTCTCCTACATATTTTTTGAACAGTCGGCTCTTTGTTGTTTTGTCGCCAGCCAGAGTTTCCTGTTGCTAATTCTTTCTGGCCAGCCAGCCGGACATTTGATATTCAGTGTGGAGTCGGCGAAGGCAGCTGCTGGTAAAAGTCTGCAATCGTTTTCGTGACCTGCCCGCTGAGTTTTTGGCCAATATAGAAAGACTGAGTGACTTTGTGGTGAGAGCTGGCTGCTAGCCAAAGTTGGTAGACAGTAATTGACGTCAGTGTTTATGTCCCCAATATTGGTGGTGAGAAAATGCGTAGGCGAGTACAGTTAGTACATGGATGATCTGACACAGCCACAAAGAGATGCAAGGTTAACTTTCCGTGAGAAACAACCAATCAAAAGACTGTATTTTCTACTAACAATTATCTACAATAATGTACATTGAAATCTGTAAATATGTGTTGATTTTCCTTAATGAAGGAACTGTTGCCTAGTCCTTGTCTTCTGTTGTTACAACTTCACATTTGTGTTGAAAATTCGAATTTTGTTGTTTATGCTGGCTGGCTGAGTGCAGTGCAGAAGATTTCCAAACTGGTTACAGTTTAACGAAGGCGTATCTTGCCTTTCTGGCCTGCTTTGACATCTTCATCTGTTCTGTCGCCTGTGTTTGCAACCGTGCTTCCCGGCCAGATACGTGAAGGAAGTAACCTCCATCGAATTCCTCTCGTTGATGGTGAATGGCGTTGTTTGTTGTCACTGTTGGTTATTTGTCTTCATCACCTCCGTCTTCTCTCTGTTCACCTTTAGTCCTGTCTTCGCTGCCAGCCAGCCTCTTCTGTCAGTTTGTTGGTTTTCGCCTGCTTTTAAGTCTTCAAATTTGTGTGACACTAAACAGAAATCATCCGCACGCGAAATCCAGATCTTCTAGTGTCTTTTTATCAGTTGACCAACGTATTCTTGTCTTCTTGCTACCCATTGTCTGACGCATAATCCAGTCCAGCATAATTAAGGCTGAAATACTGTGAAACCGTGCGTTGGTGGCATAGCGGTTAGGACGCTCGCCGACCATACACATGGTCCGGGGTTCGATCCCCGGCAGACGCACTCCTCTACCTCGCTAAGCCAGAAATAATGCTGGTGAAGAGGAAAGGTTGGGCATGAGGCTAGCAACCACATCCTATAAAAATAAACACTGCTACAGAAACTTCAAGCCACTAGCTTGAGGCCCTATGTTCCACTGGGAAACGTGAAGGTAAAAAAAAAAACTGTGAAACCAGAAACCAGTGTAAAACTTTGATTCACCAGTCAAGGATAGCTTACGAAACCCAATTAGTTAAAAGTTCACCAGGCTGCCCAAAAAGACTCTTCTCATATATCAAGAGAAGAACACGTAAGAGTGATGCTATCCCACCTCTTATGCTTGAAGATGACAAGACAAACATGGCTGAAGATGACTTGACTAAGGCTGAGGCTTTGTCCAAGCACTTTAGTCAAGTATTCTCTGATAATATTGATACCAGCTTTGTAACTTTTCCAGAAGGTAACTTGAAAATGGCACCCTTATACATTGGAAAGGATACTGTCCTAAAGTGGCTTCTAAGGCTCAATCCTGGTAATTCCAGTGGCCCTGATGAACTCCACCCACGTATATTAACAGCATTGGCTGAAAACACAGCCGAGCCATTGTCGGTAATCTTCAATATGTCTCTGGACCAGTCTAAATGTCCAAGAGACTGGAAAGATGCCATCATTAGTCCGGTCTTCAAAACCGGATCTAGAAACCTAGTTCAGAACTATCGTCCTGTTAGTTTGACCAGTATTGTTGTTAAACTGCTAGAAAGAATAATTCGTGATGCTATCATTCAGTTCATTGAAGGGAACAAACTTTTCGCTGTGGAACAGCATGGTTTTAGAGCAGGTCATTCTTGCTTGACCAACCTTCTTTTGGCCAGAGAAAGTTGGGCAAACTCAGCTAATGCTAATATACCGGTGGATGCCATATTCATCGACCTTAGCAAGGCGTTTGACAGGGGTTCTCATTCAGGTCTTCTAGTAAAGTTAGGTAGTCTGGGAATCAATAAAGTGGTCACTGACTGGATTCAAGACTTTCTAAAGGACAGAAGACAAAGAGTACGAGTTAACGGGGTTTTATCAACATGGGAATCGGTTAAGAGTGGCGTTCCTCAGGGTACAATTCTAGGCCCACTTCTTTTCCTGATTTATGTTAATGAGATTCCATTGGTAGTTAAGTCATCCTGCTTACTGTTTGCTGATGACATCAAGATATGGAGGGCTTTACACGATGACAGTGATCAACTTGCTTTGCAGGAAGATTTAAACTTGTTAAGTGATTGGTGTAAGCACTGGGCCTTGGAGATTAACTTAAGCAAGAGTGTAGTTATGCATGTATCTCATAGTCACGTGCACAATTACTCAATGAATGGCATTACTCTTCCAGTGGTTACTGAGTACAAGGACTTGGGAGTGGTTGTGCAGCATGACTTGAAAACAGCAACAAACCGTAGAGCTGCAGCCACTAAGGGTTTTCGAATATTATGGGCCATACGCAAAGCTTTTGCGAATTTTGACGCTGAAATATTTCGTATATTATATCCGACTTATATCAGACCTCATTTAGAATATGGGATCCAGGCAGCGAGCCCGTGTTTCAAATACGAAATAGACTTATTAGAAAGGGTGCAAAGAGTAGGAAGTAAGCTAATAAAAGGTTTCTCAACCCTCTCATATGAAGAAAGGTTAAGTCGACTGGGTTTATTTCCACTGTCATACAGACGACTTAGGGGTGACCTAATACTAGCATACGTATCCTAAGAAATGATTTTGGAGCAAATTTATCTAATTTATTTCTTCCTTCTAGCACCAACCAATTGCGAGGACATCACCTAAAGGTTCAAAAACCACGGTCGAATCGTCTGCGTTTGGAGATCCGTTTTTCGCATCGAATTGTGAACCATTGGAACTCCCTACCGGAACACGTCGTATCAGCGCCATCCGTTGATTCATTCAAGGCGAGATTGGACCTCCTGTGTGTAACAAATCGAAAGGATTAACACAGGCATATAGCCTACTATTCTAAATAAATTGTTAACTGTAAACTGTAAACTGTATCATCGGTTATAATAGGCAGCCATGTCTTATTCTTGTATTCATTTCGAACTCCTCACTGAGTTTTTCGCTGTATATCACCTGACACGTCACACCTTCATATAGCCATCTGTTGATTGAGGTTGATAAGGATTTTTTAACACTACACGCCATAGTGTTGAATTAGTTTTCAAATAACTTCGCTGTCAAATCTGTCGAAGGCCTTTTTAAAGTCGATAAAGTTAAAGTACAGGCTTGACTGTGCCATTCTGTGCTTTGTTCGATGACGATAAGTTTTTTGTGATATAACACACAATGTAATATACTATTAATAACTGGATGATGTTTCAAGCACAAGTTATTGCTGGTATAATCATATCAGTGTTTTTAAACAGTTTCACAATTTGCTTTATATATTTCTTCTCTCCTCCTTGTTATTTATTGAAATTTTCCGCATATCCGGTGAAGGGATAGGGTCATTTCGATTGCACATGTGTGGTGTTGATTCAATAAACAGAGATTCAGTTAATTAAATTATTAGAACACAGAAATTTGGCTAAATCTTGAACGACTGACCCTAATGAGTTAGGTGATCTAGGAAACAGCTCGGCTACTCCAATGCATTCATTTGCATATAATCACACAATACGGCGGGATAAAGTTGGAGTATTTAAAAGTAGTATAGTAAGGTAGGTAGGGAGAGGTTAATCACTGAACAAAAAACACATGAAGTCGAAACGACGCAACTCCTTCACCGGATGTGTGGAAAATTGCAATAAACGATGAAGGGGAAGAGGTAAAATATATTAAGCATATTATGATGCCATGTGAATAGACTGATTTCATTATGAGCAATAAATTATGCTTGAAACGTTATCCACTTATTAATAGTGTATCACTTATCTAATATGGGATTATACTCTACCACAGTGCCCAACTTTTACTCTTACATTAGACGGATGACTACAACTTAGTGATGAACTTCGTTACAAAGGGAAATCATTTAAAACAATTACTATGTGAAAACATAGAGCTGACATTTCAAATCACTCAGTTGCCACAGCACAGACACATTACCTGTCCTCTTCCTTAAATCATTGTGGTCAGTCACTTATGTCATCTATGTATTTAGTAATTTCTTATAATCTGTTTAATATATATATGAGGTTAGGTAGCATTTCTGCAGTCATTTAGAGAGAAACATGTTAGTCAGTGTAAATACCAAAGGTTAGGAAGTACTGTAACTAGGATAAGTTAAATACGGCATAAAACTTTAAATGTAGCAGTTTGGTGTCACTAGCATGCGTCTGCTTCTCATGAAACTGAAACCTTTTAAAGATATCAACCCAATAAAATGAATGAATATTCATTTAATTTAGGGACTGAACTTGTCTATTTTTTGTTTACATCACTTAAAAGTGTTTTTTTTTACAAGTCTCTTTTCTTTATATATTTTGTATTTCTAAGTAAAATCTAATTGGATGAACAACTGTTTTATTTCTTGATATCAATCCAGCTTGGACTTTCCGGTGTGATGTTATTATCATAAGCTTGACTGAGCATTCTACCAGGCCATATTTATATACATTTGCTTTATTGGTTGGAGGGCTTCCTCATGAGCTGACATCATTTCGAGAACCACTGGAAAACCAGGGAGTACTGCACAGCCAACGGTTTTCTCCTAGTTTGGGACTCTCCAGGAGTGCGCGGCCACCCCATGGGTTTGAATCCAGGACCTTCCAGCTACAAAGGGAGCTCGTAGATCATGAAGCCAGTGGGACCCAACCCGATGCAATGGCCAGCCAATGAAACTTAACTTCTGCAAATTCATGATATAGCGTGATCACTTCGCAATGTCTTCTTCGATGAGTTACTGCCTCACCTTCAACTTACTGAGGAAGCCGTTGGGTGACATCGCGCGTCAGGCCATAGCTCGAGTGGAACCCGAAAGGGAAGCGGCGAGTGGGACGTCAGTGCAAGGGTGACATGGAGGAGATCGTGAGAAGAGAAGTTGAAACAGTATGGACTAACATGGATGCAGGTGGAAAGTACAGCAGAAGAAAGAAGCAAGTGGAGGCGTGTAGTTGAAGCCGTATGTTCCACTAGGAACCCAAGGGAACAATAATAATAATTCAACTTGCTGCACCCTACCGGTCACAGCTTCCCATTAAAACCTCGGGTTAAGTGCCTGAATAGGACCAGTCACTAGGGAACATCAGACTAATTTTCAAGTATTGGTTTTGTAGGGATTGTGTTTTGTTGGTTAGAGGATTTCATCATGAGCTGAAATCGTAAAGCAAATGAGAATTTATCAAAATAAATGAAATATTAGACACACATTTACAATTTCACTGGTGTAACTTACAGTTTATCGTTAGATTAACTGGTGCATATAACGTTGATCTATTTTGCCAAATAGACCATATTTCTTTAAGTGTTAGCAATTTTTGAGATAATCTCAGATCGTTTGGTGTATAAATTCCAGTCTCTGCATGACAATAATATTCGCCTGTATGAAATGCACGTGTATGCGGAATTTTCAATCTAGAACCATCTAACTGATTGGAATGAGATGAATATAAAGTTGGCTTCTCAGATTGTCTTCCTTGATGAATTGGTTTATTGAAAGTCCAGTAGACTGAAGTAACACTTGGATTTGCATCAACACGGCAAGCTATCTCTAGAGCTTCACCTTCATTAACAGTAACTTTTGGTTGGACATGAACTGTCGGAGGGACTGTGTGAGGAAGATGAAATTTTATAGTTTCATAAGATATTTTTATGGACAAAAGAAGAAATAAAAGTGAATGATGATTATTAGCGGAGTTAACTTATACAAATAATTGATATCAAATCAAAAACTGCAATATGGTGTTCTTCAGCAAATTTCCCAAGTATTCAAACAGTTATCTTCATTCAAGGTAGAGGAAATAATCAGCTATTAGGGGTTGTAAACTTTGTTATGTCATTTCGTAGGGATCATATTTGCGTCGGTGATTCAGTGGTGCGGATGATCAACAACCATGTACATGGTATGGGTTCGATTACCAGACGACAAATTCCCTAACCTCACCTAATTTAACAGCTGCTAGGAAGCCTGAAAAAGAAGGAAGGTTAGGAATAAGGCTAGTGACACCACTGCCACTGAAACTTTAGAACTTGAAGGCATATGTCTCACTTAAAACTCCCGTGAAAGTAACGGAAATGATGGCCTGATTGGTGATTGGAATGAATGCCTAAAGTGTGAAAATAAAGTGAATACTAAATATTTTACACTTTCATGTGATTCTTCTGTCTAGTGATGGGTCTTATCACTAATTGATACAGCCTGAAATGGCAAGAAATGAGTAAGGAACTACTTCTCTTTTTGCTTTGTAACTGCTCAGCAGTGCTCACACAGGAAGTCTCTAAAGATCGAGATAAGATTTCCATATCAAGTGGTGAACACGTTCATTAATCAGCTACTGAGTTGGGATAGAATGGTAAATGAATCGCAATTTCTTTTACTAACATTCAGTGTTATTGGTGAGTTTCTGTCCTGAACTTGTCCCTTAGAATCCTTCGTAACTACATTTTCCTATCTTACTCAGAATGACAATTCATGATACGTCATCGTTTTATTTGAATGTGTTGAAGAACAATAAACAAGAGATCTTTATATGGTAGTATTCCAAAGTTAGTCAGCTATGAAACTTGGTTTTTAAGATAAATTCATATTTTTATGCATCGGGAGGATTTTTCTTAACGCTGATAGGCTACTTATCAGGTATGTTCTAAATGACAAATATTGTCATCATATAACTAACTGTTGTATTAAATTTACTACGAGACTAAAGCACACAGTGAAAGTATTCGGTGTACTTTGAGTTTAAGATGTTTAAAGCTTACCCTTCCCTCTATGTCTGCATTCATATGGTGAAATAATCTATCAGATGAATTCCCTTCATGGAAAACTCACATTTTATAAGTGATGTTCATGAAATGACGTAGGATGTGTGTGTGTCCACAGGATATGAATGCTTTGACAGATGGGATACTATAAAGAGTGAATTCAGTGACAACTCTGCTTTCATCTAAAATATACTTCAGAAACAAGCGGTAAATACTGTTCCCCCAAAATTATTTATTATAACTCATTCTGTATAGTTGATCAGTTGTTTGGTCTTGTCTTTCTCTTGATCAGTTTCTTTTTTTAAAAACCCAATTTCTAAATAGTATCTCTAGGTATCATAACCAAATCTCAGAGTTCGCTCTCTAGTCTTTGTAAAATTTGACTTGATGCTAAATTTTAGCATATCTGCTTTTGTTATAAATTATTTAAATTAATCCCAGCTTGTTAAGAAAATCAAAACGAGATTTTTCTGAATGTTTCGCTGTGTAAGTCACAGATTCTTCAGCAGATTTATTCGGATCTTTATTAATCTTCTATAGTTTGGTTTGTAAGGGTTAGTTATGTTTTTTTTACGAGTTGATCACGGATTGATATCAGTTACAGAACCATTGAAAACCAGCACTGGAGTACTGGAAAGCTATTTCATCCTAGTTTGGTAATCATCGGCAGTACGCGCCCACTGGGATTCGAACCCAGGACGTTCCGGTTACAAGGCAAGCTCGTATACCATTCAGCCACTGGCTCATGAATTCTAACTTCTACCCATTCGTGATTTAGCGCGACCCCAACCATTGTCGTTGGTGGGACATCCATTCACACACATGACATCTAATTGGACCTCACTGGTCACGACTTCTCACTAGAACTCCAGGAAACTCCATCCTGTAGCAAGTCACTAGCGAGCATCAGATCAATTTTCTATAGTTTGGTTTGTAAGGGTTAGTTATGATTTTTTATTAGTCATCAAAATATATAGTCAAATATTTTTACATAAATTGAAGTCAGTTTATTTGAAGGTCATTTGTCCATGGACATTTTTACCAATAGAAATATGTAAGCAGTCATCACATATATTTGTAATGACTAATGTCAAATTGATGTTGTGTATACTTTTCTATAGTTGATTTGTAAAGATTAGTTTTTTTTTGAGTTTGTGTGAGTGTTTGTTATTTGTCATATGGAAAATACGTGAATTCATAGGTGATAAACATGATACTGCATGTTTTAAAAGGTCATGGAGGCTCATAGAGTCTTTGTTGTTCTTTCATCTGTCTTGCTTCATAAGAGTTTGCCATATAGGTGACAAGTCTATCCCTTCTTTCCCATTCACTGCATTCGATGTGGTTAAAATGTGCAAGGCTTCAGAAGTCAGTCTTTCTTTATGTGAATGAAATCCTTTTCCAAGAATTTTGACATTGTCGAAATCAATCTTATGTCCGCTGTCTACTGCATGTATTGCTATAGCCGATCTTTTTTCTAGACTTTTTAATTCTACTTCATTTCTAGGTGGACGTTTCGTGCAAAGTCTATGTTCATTCACTATAACCTTCACTTGCCTACTGCTCTCTCCTATATAGCATGCATCACATTCTGAACACTTTATCCTGTAGACACAATTACTTTGTGACATTCTGGGAACTATATCTTTGACATGCGCCGACGCTTTCTCCAGAGAATTAGAAGGTTTGACATAGACTTTAATATTATATGAAGCAAATAGTTAACTTATCATGTGAGAAAAAGCTTGTTTTCATCTACAAGAATACTAGGGACTGCTTAGAAAAACCTATGGATCTTAGAAGCTAAGGCGAAAAATAATAACCTAACATCGGTATACTGGAAACAAGAGAGAGTTTTCTCAACCTCTACTAACTATTTAAGTTTCTTGATGGAATTACTTAAGTTGACAAGATGTCTGTGACTTTCGATGTATGTTAAGAGAAAGTTTTAGATCCAGTCAAAATCTCCAGTGTATGACAGTTACTTAGGAATGATAAAATCACAGATTAATACCAGCATTCTTCAATACACAGTTTGAAAATCATTGCTTGACATGTGAAACTAAAAAATTTTAAAATACCTTACTAAAACAGAATATTGTTGTTTGAGAAATGAATATACATTTTATTGGTTTTGTTTTTCCTTTAATAATGAGCCAATATACTACTTGTGGAGTAGTAAACAAATTCACACTACTACTTAACCTAAGTATTATGCCTCTACTGAGTATTCCCTGAACTGTATGACTCCAGATATTAGTCTATTCCGTTTAATTGTTGAAAAGTTAAAGGTATTCAAGAAAAATACTCTTGACAGGATTACTCAGGTTCATGTACACTAGTGTGTGGATCATTGAACTAGCCTTTCAGTCTATTTTCTGTAGCGGTCATATGACAATATTCAGTTGAAAGTGAGTAACAGTGGAATCCAACTGTAGTCGACAGGAAATACAAATTAACTTCAACAAGTCATGTTATATAATTTAAATGATTTTTGTAAGTGAATGACTCGAGCTGTGAGATTACTACTGTAAACTGTTAATTCAAAAGATTGTACATATATACTTATAATTCTGAAGACCTAACTGGTTTTCTAAATTTAGGTGGTTTGAAGGCAAACATACTTTTGAAGTAAATATATCTATGAGTGATAAAGCTATTATGACTAACGTTTTCATCCGGAACTTTGGACGCCTTACCGTAGTTTACCATAAGTGACATATGCACATACTCAGAAACCTGACATGTAACTTTCAGTGTACTGCTGACTTCGATCGAATCCTGTCTTCGTTGTCTGAAGATGAGATGGCTGGACGGCTAGAATGGACAGGCAAAAAGGGACTCTCACAGTTCACTTACACAGCTGACAACCTGTGACTAACCCAATAAAAATGCAGAAGGAGATGGAAATGGATTGTGCATACTCTGAGGAGACACTCAAGCTATATCATATTTCAGGTAGGTTCTCCAATGGAACCTGAATGGTAAGTGATAGATTGGGTTCGGGTCTGATGGCAAAGTGTTGACCATATGAGAAGGGAATGGATTCTTGTGGGCAGTCTTACTGCGGACTGAAAAGGATGACAGAATGCAATGGAGGTGCACTGCTAAAGCCCTGTGTTTCATTGGGAAGGCAAGGAATAAATACCAGTGCTACTACTACTACTAGTACTACTAATTTATGCATACGTTCGGTTGAGTTACTGATGATTTTACCGACCGAAACTGAGAAAGTCAGGTTTCTCAGAATTTCACTTATTAGGTTAATTATATAAATTTTGTCAATATTCTTTTTAATCGGGTTAACTTTTAAAATGAGGATAAAACATGTGTTGCAACTGCTTACATAATACATCAATCGAAAGTTTTTGTATATTTTCACCAATTTCATTTGAGGCTACACAAGCATAGTGTTTCGGTCCACTTCTGCTGACATGGTAAACAGCAAGAAAGGAATTATCTGAAATAAGAAAAAAACGATTTCAGCTGAGATAATATTCGCTGATCGTATGAAAAGTAATTGCAAAGAAAGTAACTCCAAAATTATTAAATCTCAACTGTTTTCACCAAGTTGTTGATATGAGCTAAAATATTATTATTATTGTTCCCTAGGGTTCCTAATGGAACATAGGGCTTCAACTGCACATCTCTGTCTTCTACTGTTTTTCACTTGCATCCATGTTAGTCCATACTGTTTCAACTCCTCTTCACACGATCTCCTCCATGTCACCCTTCGACGTCCCACTCGCCACTTCCATTTCGGGTTCCACTCGAGCATTGGCCTGACGCGCGATGTCAGCCAGCGGCCTCCTCAGAGAGTGTCCAATCCATCTCCACTTACTCCCGCATATTTGTTGAGCGATTGGTTCTTGTTTTGTTTGTTCCCATAATTTCTTGTTGGTGATTCCTTCCGACCATCTGATCTTCAGTATAGAACGGAGACAGTTATTGATAAAGCTCTGCAACAGGCTGTTGGAAATATTCTTTGTGACACAATGGCCAAGTTTCTGATCCATATAGAAGAACTGATTTGACGTTTGTATTGAAAATCCGAATTTTGTTGTTGATGCTGAGTTTAGTGACGAAGATTTCCAGATTGGTTTCAGGTTGATGAATGTGTTTCTCTCCTTCCCGATTCTCGATTTGACATCCTCGTCCGTTCCTCCTGTAGCTGAGACAATGCCCCCTAGATGAGTGAATGAAGTAACCTCTTTCAAATCCCTCCCGTTGATGGTGATTGGTGCTGGATGTTGCTGCTGTTATTGTTGTTGGTTGGTTATTTTCATAACCTCCGTCTTACCTTTGTTCACCTGGATTCCTATCTTTGCTGCTTCTTTGACGAGTTTGTCGGTTTTCGCTTTTAAGTCTTCGATTTTGTGTGACATCAAACATAAATCATCCACGCGCGAAATCCAGGTCTTCTAGGTTCTTCACGTTGGTCCAAGATATCGCTGTCTTCTCGTTTCCCACTGTCTGACGCATTATCTTTTTTTTTCCTTCACGTTCGCCAGTGGAACATAGGACTTCAGGCTAGTGGCTTGAAGTTTCTGTAGCAGTGTTTGTTTTGCAGGATGGAGTTGCTAGCCTCATGCCCAACCTTTCCTCTTTACCAGAATTATTTCTGGCTCAGCGAGGTAAAGGAGTGCGTAATCTAGTCCACCACAATTAGGAATATCATTGGTGATAATAAGCACTCTTGTCTGACTACTGTGTTTACTCCAAACGCCTCGCTGAGTTTTCCGTTGTGGATCACTTGACATGTGCCGTTGTCATACAGCTGTTGAATAAGGTTGATGAATATTTGGGGTACGCCGTAGTACTCGAGTAGTTTCCAAATTACTTCGCGGTCAACGCTGTATTAGTGCTACTTTATTTATTGATGCTGTTTAATTCAAATCTTTACGAAGTGAAAATGACAACATTCTCAGGGTACTATAAATTTCAATACTGAAACATGCATTAAAATATTTCGATATACAGTTATCTTCTGTTATCAGTACGATTGTACAGGTAAACATAAATGGCTGTTTACATAGTATGACTGAAACGAACGCTATAGCTGTGAACTTGAGTAAAAACTTTCAAACGGTATTATGGGAGAAAAGTTTTAGTAATGCATTTGAAAAAATACCACCTTTAGAGAGTGGTTAGGCTTATTTTGTTATCAGTACAATATTCTCTCTCAGGCTAGACAAGTTTTACAAAATTTGTCGTAGTGTAAACTGATGGAATTCTATTGCCTGGGCTTTTCGATTCACACTTCTCATAATTTTCAAGTGTTGGTTTGAAAGAATTTGATTGCCTTCAAGTATGTTTTGTGGATTGACATCAATCAATGGCTTATGAGCCATTGAACTGCATCCAAGTGGCTGACTAGTCAGTGAGCTCGTTCGTAACCTAAAATTCCTGGGTTTGGACCTTAGCGACTCTGATAGTAGTTTAACTTCGACCAAATATTTTCATTTTGTTTGAAATTGAACTTCCTCTGTATAAGTTATATAAGCGTAGTTTATAAGCACAATTTATTACTCTTGGCGTCTTCTTTTAACTGATGTCATGTCATCTTTGCAAGTATGTTAAAACTGAATTTAATTTGTGGATGGTGACTAGCAGTGGAATCCAGGATGCGCATTTCGTCCTATTTGGGACTCGTCATCTGGAGGTACCTGCAGTCGACGGGAAAATCTCAAATTCAGTTAAAATATGTTAAAACTGCTTTGTGCATGAGCTTAATTAAATATCTAGGCTTTTAACAGTTGAAGAGTAGCCAAAGTGATAAACAGTAATGCCATCTAATTCTGCACTAGCCATTTTGTTTGTCTTATTCACATTCGTCAACTTGGTCAACCTATTTAATGTTAATTATTTTAACCTGTGGAAAATTGTTTACTGATAAATCTTGCTGGTTGTGGCTTGGGTAAATATTGTTTTTATAGGCAGGAATTATAACTGTAAACAGTAATCTTTTGATTACTTACAATTAGTCTTCACATAAGATTTTACACTACCAATAACCTTTTAAATATAACTCATATTGAATCGGTAGAATACGGAGACTTGGGAAAGGAACCTTAAGGTACCTCTGCATAGCCAAATTATGTACACCCTATCTTCAGGCCATCATTTGCACAGATCTTCCGTGTTATGCTACTTCTCACCTTCCTTCATATTATGTTTCTTTATGTTCCTTTCACGTCTTCTATGTTTCTGTGCAACAATATATCATTTGCTTTCTCTGACGTCAAATCTATCTCCCTACTAAATGGTAATTTTATGCAGAAAAACGTCTCTTTTTATACTACTGATAAATCTTGTCAGTAGTACACACTGCAATATGGTTACAAATATTTAACTGCTACTGTGTTTCACTTGGTCAGGAGTATCAGAATAGATTTCATTGTTAGGAAATAGTATTGACATGGCTTGTATATGAAATTAGGAATGCATAAATATTATAATGATTTAAAGCAGGAAAAAAAATAACTAGTTTTCATTTACTTGAAATTATGTTTCGCTCTTCATCAATCCAATGTATACGAGCTGGAGGATTTGCTTGAACTCTACAGACTTGTGTAAATGAAGTGGTCTCCAGTACACGTAGTGGATTTGAATCAAATGGATGTATGACTGGCACATCTAAAGAAACAGTAAATAATAATTGGTACAAAAGGAAACAGGGATAATGTCATTTATTATTTTCGTTATATTTAGAATGAATTTCTGCTACAGAGAGAATGTTTTGAGACATTTCCTTATTAGAAAAAAAGCGGCTGTAAATCATTTGCAGTCCTTAATTTCTAATTAAATTTGTTCAAAATAAATTGAAATAGTGAAAGCAAAGGGATAATACTAGTTTACAAGTCATTCCACACTGGATACTGGAGGGAAGGCTGACGTAGAGTTATTATTTTATTCCTCTGCTTTCCGAGTGGAACATAGGACTTCAAGCTACAGTTTTGAAGTTTCAGTAGCAGTGGTGTTTTTCTACGGGGTGGGATTGCTATCCTCACGCCCAGCCTCCCCTCTTTGTACGCATTGTAACCGGCTAAGGGAGGTAAAGGTGTGCGCCGGTCGGGACTCGAACCCCAGACAACGTGCATGGTTGGCTAGCACTCTACCGCTGAACCACCAACGCACTTCCTCTCAGATGGTCGTTTATATTTTTGTATTGGTCTCTTTGTAGCCGATAACTACGACCTGACTATTTTTATTTTCATCTTCCAAGTAAGTTTAGCTGAATTGTACTATATTATCATTCGCTCCTTGTGTTTTCAGCACATAACACATGTCTTCAGCAGGTCGTGACTCTGAATCTACCATGGTAATACGTTTTATTTATAATTCTACCTCTTATTATTATTTTTATTACCATTGTTATTCTCATTATTATTATTCTTGATTCATTTAAAACTATCCTTTATCAGTAGCATTATCTTAACTCACTTCAACACTATTATTATCATTGTTATTATAACTATTACTATCGACATCCCTCTGGTTGCAATTCTTATTAAATTCTCTAATGTCTAATTGTTTATCTAAGTGATGTAATTGAAGCGCAATGCAATTTGTCTTAATTTTGATCTCCCATACTCTCCCCTTATCTAATTGAACATGACCTGGAAAAACATTCGCACCTGTCTCTCTGCATGACTAATTCAATGTAGTTTGTTTGCTTATCAGTCCTACATCTCCCAATGTAATTTCAAAAGTATATATATCCGTGTATGTAGAGTATTCAGCTGACGAGTTCTACCGAAATTTGATGAATTCATTAAATCCTGCTTTATTAACCTTTATTGCTTGTTTTAAATTCGTATCGGGAAATAAATGTTCCCATTTTATTCTGTTCCATGCTATCTTATTTTAACCGGCTGGAAGACTACCAACGATTCTTCATCTCCTCTTCATATGATCTCCTTCAAGTTGTAGTTGGACATACACCCAACTCATCACTCCCTATTCAGGTTCCACTAGACGTCTGCCTTGTGCGTAACATCATCTGAATATCTCCGCATAGTAATGTCAATTCTATCTCCGTTTACTTCTTCATATTTGATGGACAATTCACAGGCTCTTGGCCAGTTTACTACCTTCTATAGCTTCTTGTTACTTATCCTTTTGAGTCAGTGTGTCATCTGATCTACAGAATGAAGCCTGTGAAGTTAACTGCTGATGAAGGTTTACAGCAGACTGTTTGATAACATGTGGGGCAAGTTTGTTACCTTTATTGTAGCAATAAATCACTTGACACTAGTGTTAACAATTCAGATCATGATCTTCTGCTAAATGCTGTACTAATTTCAGATGAATGAGCCTCTATCGTGCTCACCTATACTATATTAACTTGAACAAAGCAAGAACAACTGTACCAGGATAATATGAGCTCATCTTTTATTATTTCGAGGGTTCTTCTCAACTGGTTACAACCTGAATGATAAAAAGTATGAATTACATTGAAGATTTGAACATACTTTTCCACGATCACAAGGAGTAATTGGTAGGAAGTAAAAGTAACATTAGTCCGGAATGATTTAACTAATTAAGAGTTACAAACACTGACTATTTATAGAATAGTTAGACAATTAGGCTTGGGAACATAAACAGAGTTGCGTATATATGTGTGTGTATAGAAACAAGGTTTAGCTAGAAAGAGCATAACAAAAAGTAGATTACGTAACTAAAGAAAATGCTTTATCTAAAAGCCAGTAGAAAAAAAAGGAAGAGAAAAGAACAAGAAAGGGTGAGTCTTGTTTAGATGAGAAATTAGAGTTTTCTAAACAAGAAAAAGGTGACTCATGCAAGTTGTATACTTTGTTGTCACCAGGGCAGTGCAAGATTCACCACTGTCTCTTTCTGCGTACATAGATTTGGTTTAAGACGTTTGATAGCAATTGCTTCAGCAAAGCGTAGCAAGTTAGGTTTCTTTTGCTTGTTGATTATTTTGAATGACTTCAAGTTGTCTACATTATGACCAGTGTCTAATAGATGACGCGCAATTGCACTGTTTAATACTTGTGGACCTTTCAGTCTCAGGTTCTTTGGTATGTGTTCAGGAATGCGGACAATAACCCTTCTCTCTGTTCTTCCATCGTATGTGCTTTGGCACGTACATGTAAATTGGTAGACACAGTTGGAGGTAACATGAGGTGGGAATTTGTCCACTTTTGATTGTCTCAAACAACTAGTTGTTTGATAAACACATACAAGCTTGGCGGCTGGATATGTTCTTTTCAGGGCAGCGTTCAGTCTGCATCTTATTCTACTGGCAGTATCATCACCTTTGAATGCAAGCTGCAGAAAGATAGGCTTTTTCTCCACTGTGCTGCTTTTCACTTTTTCAACATGACGTCTCCCATACTTTTCGGTGAACTTTTGCAGGTAACCGTTGTCGCGTAGGCATTTCTCCACAATGGATAGCTCTTCCTCAATCTTTTCTTCCGAACACAGCTTCCTTACACGATCAAATAATGTTCTCACCAATCCTTTTTTGTAACTTATAGGGCAGAAACTTTTGAAGTTAAGATAAACCGCCCTCCAGGTCTCTTTTCTGTGTATATATCTTATGATTTTGCCGTCTATATCTCGTTGGATACCCAGGTCAAGAAAGTGGAACTTCTCCTCCTTTTCATGCTCCATTGTAAACTTAATATTAGGATGGGCGCTGTTCAAGACTTTTAGTACTTGAGATGCATCATCAAAAGAATTACAAATAACGAAAGTCTCGTCGACATACCTGGTATAGTAGTTGGTCTGACTGATTGCAGATTTCAGCCTTGTTTGTTCCAGACTACCCATAAAAATATCTGCCAGAATCGGACCCAGGGGGCTTCCCATGGCGACTCCGTCAATTTGGCGGTACAGAATGTTGTTGAACTGGAACTGTACGTCTTTGGTGCACATAAGTAAAAGTTGTTTGAGTTCGTTCTTGGGTAGAGGAAGAAGTTCGGCATGTTGACATATAATTTGTATTGTTTCTTCAAATGGGATTTTTGTAAACAGTGAAGACACGTCGAAGCACACCATAAATTTATTTGAGATGCTTACATTCCCTAATTGTTTAGCGAATTGGAAGGTGTCTTTCAGGCTGTAGACTGCTAATTTACAACAACTCATTCGAGAAAAGTTGTATGCAGATCAGCACATGTATAATGATGAGACTAGACTAGAATTTTAGCATAACATTATTAAGTAGAGAAATAGATGTCTCCTGTTTTATTAATTATGTTTCATTATTATTGTTATTTTTTCTCTCATTAAAATGTCATCATTAACTGACTCATTGAGATGACAGGGTCAGTCAATGAGGCAAGAGTACAGAAAGCGGCGAGGGAGGGGGCAACGAGAGAACGAGGAGAGAAGAGACAGGAAAAATGGGGGTAAGTTTTGCAGTTGACGAAGAACACTGATAAATACTCTGACTGTCCATTTTTTTAATTTTCATTTTCAGGACAAATTAATTAGTAACTTTGATGTCTATTCGTTTGTTTATTTTCATTTGAAAATAAATATTGCTTATTATTATTATCATTATTATCTGTCATTGAATACAGTTCATCCTTTCAGTCGTTCATATCACAAATGTTTTTCCCTGTCGAAAATGTGTTTTTTTCGCTACCTTGTTGAATAAACTATTATATGTATACATGCATTGACATAGATGGGGCACGATGATGAAGTGATTACCAGGTCATTCTCTGGAAATAGAACCATTTGTTCCCAATTTTGGGTCATTATGAAAATTATTTCTCAACACGAAATTCGATATACTTACTATTCAACTAATGCTGTAATTATAATCTGTTCAAAAATGCTGCTTTTTTTCCCCATATGTTTACATAAATTTATATTCAACTTGAGAGTATATTCTGGATAAAGAAACATGTTAGTTGTAACAGAAGGGACATGAGTCCCTTCAAGATTGCAGATACGTCCTGATGACGAGTGCTAATAAGAAAGAAACCTAGGCCAAGGCTTTCTTTTGATAACCTCCTACTATCTAGCAACTGCGATTCAGAGTACGCCGTGATAATGAGCCACAATACAAACGTGACTGGTAGAATTTAGTCTGCACTAGACGAAGAACCCGACGCACAACACTGCTTACTTACTATCTAGTGTTCAATCGATTACTTAACTATAGTAATTCATATGACATCTGTACGTTACAGTTATGCCCGTCGTACAATGTCAGACACATGCAATACGACTAAATTCTATATTACGACTGCTCAAAAGCAAAGAAAATTCTAAGAATAGGTAGGATTCTAACAAAAACATGTTGATGTTACATTCTAATTTTTCATATTGTTTAAGCTTATTATTTTCAAAACTTGCAGGAGAAGCATTATCAGCAAAAATGTCGAGGTTTCTCTTCATTTCATAAAAGGACTTAAACAAATGAGAAGCTATATTACAGTCAACAAAATACCCTCCTTTTAGTAACATTATTTGTTCCTTGCGTTTCCAGTGGAGCATAAGGCTTCAGCGACACATTTGCATTCCACTCGATTTTGCTGTTATCACTTCAAATGACCTCATGACTGCCCAAAATCCTTCGTCTCTTCATCACATTGTCTTTTCAGTCTAACGCTCAGATACCTAAGCCGTCACTTTCCATCCAGGTTTTACTAAAT